AGGATTTTACCGTGGGTAGAGGCAACATATATAGGAAGATTGCCAAAATTTTTTCGTTCGGACTTACTTTATTAAAAAGTTATAGAGCTTTTTCTACAAGCCCTTAGAGTAGCCTAAAACGATACTTGTATAAAAAGTCACGAAAAAATTTTGGCAATCTTCCTATATATGTTGCCTCTACCCACGGTAAAATCCTGAGTCGAAAACTCAAACATCGATTGAGCAACTGGCTACCGAACAGAAATCCTATCAAATGGCAATTCTAAAGCACAAAGGCACAGAAAAAAGAGAACACAGTTGAATTATAGAGATCAACTGTACCACTTTCAGTCTTTTCTTCTTTTGATCTTAAAAAAAGCAAGCTTAAATCGAAAACGACCAGTGATCGTTTTCACACAGTTAGTTATGCTCATACAACACACCCAAGTTATTAATGTCTGATATATTATCTATCTAAGTTATCATCATCTCGGCACAAACTAACACAATTTTTACAACACAACACAGATGTGAACTGTAAAAGAAACTGAAAGTATGAGATTTTGATTTTCTATATCTAGAAAAAAAGTAAAGTTGTAGATACTACCCTGATGACGCAGAAAAAATACATCAGTTTTACGAAATTACTCGCATGATAGTACAATAACCCATTTCTGATAAAAATTTTAAGTTTTCAACTATTGTGTTTATTGAGAAAAGCTTTCAGAATGTAAAAAAACGTAATTTCGTCACATTTTTTCAGATCAAGTTATCAAAACGTTTGGAAAAAAAATTTACAAATGACGAAGGCAATAAATCAATTTTTGTTGCTTTTTGTTGCATGTTCAAATTGTTTCATCTAAATTTAAACAAAAACTAATGATAACATTCGCTGTGTTTGCTACTTACTTAACTTACCAGTATTGTTTTTAATTTGTCGAATTTCCGTTCGTAATCTTCGACTAATTCAACTAATTCCGCTTCTCGTTGTGCTTCTCGTTGTCGGTAGTGTTCGACTTTTAACTTTTCTAATTGCAATTTTGCTTCGAGGTTTGCCATATCAATTGTATAAGTAATATTTTTTTGTATACAATCGAAGCACATCCAATTATTTTCACTACCATGGACAGCCTAGAAATAAGTCGTTTCAATGGTGATGGTGTATGAAATGGATTTACTTCGAAAACCTTACAGTTACATATCCAAATCCTTCGTCTATTGATGAAAATTTTCTAAGACACATTTTTTCCTCCGAAATCAAGGCAGAAAATGAAATAAAGAGAGTAAGAATGGAATATTCGAATGAACAGAATGTAATTGAAGAATCAATAGGAGAAGAAGAGAGAAAAAAGGATTAAATATTGAATGAACACAAATTTCGTCGAAGAATAGAAAGAAGAAAGTTGAATACTCGGCTACACATATATAAATATATATCTATTTTTTCTTCATTCAAAAAATTAGTTTTTCCTCCATCGGCTATTCTTAAACATATGTAATTCGAAACGACGTCTCTATTTTTCTTTTTCTGGTTCACCACCAGCTGAAAGAGAGGTCAGAAATGGAAAATTGAATAATACATTTGGTCTAGGCATAATGTAACCTCCATCGAACAATAAAGTGAGAAAAAATTTACTCCAATCTTTTCTTCTTGGTGACGACGGCGCCAATGAACAAGTACCTTAGTTTTTTATCAACCTATGATGTTCCGTCGCAACTACCTTATTGTTATTATCGCTTGTTTTTGTTTCTTCCCCTTTTTTTTTTTTGTGTTGCCTGAATATTTTTAATTAAATCATCGCTACCATGGGCTCGTTTTGAAGAATCAACACTAGTTGCACGTTTATCTTGGCTGTTGAGTTTATTTGAAAGCATTGTGAGTCGAGCTCTTTCAGCTGCGGGACGTGGTGGTGGCTGCAAAAAAAATAAACAGAGATAAATAACAGTCATTAGAACAACCGCTGTACTACTACTAGATGCTTACGCGTGACCCCATTGATGAAACAATACTGGTTTGTGATTGCGAGGATGATGGTACTGGTTCAACAATATTTGTCGGGGCTGGAATCGGAAGAAGGAATAGTGGCATTGGTTGTAGCTGTTGTACATTTTGAGGTAAAAAATCAACCTAAAACAGAAAAAATTAAATTTTATTTTAGAGCCAAAAGATTTTTATTATCGTATGTCTCACGGTCAGAATCAATGGATGGGCCCGGGAAAATTTTTTAGGGGACCAATAAACTTTTTGTGGCGCCCGCAAAAATCTACTTTTCTTCATGATTTTTGTGTATAGCTAAGCGTTTCAAACCTTGCAGAAACTTGAAATCTGCTGAACTTACAGAATTTTTTTCTTGATACTTGACGGCTCTTTGCTGAGTTTTGTGTAAGAACATTGTGCTCTAGAACTTGATAGGATTTGTTTCAGAATAAGACGCTGTCGTAGATTTAAATATTATCGAGATTCTTAAAAGGTTGAAAGCTTTTCTGAAATTGGTAAAATCACCTCGGTTGTCTATAACGGTTTTATTCTTCGCTTCATGCAGTCTTAACGGGTTTTGGCTGAGTGTACGATTTAAACAAGACGTCCTTTCCATACATCACAAAAAGCACAGCGTGTTTTTTCTCTTCGTAGTAACACACTTTCTCGTCCATTTAAACTACACATCGAAATTTTATGTCAAAAAGTGTTCCTTGTTTTATTACACTACGCAAATATACTACTGTGAAATATAGCGTAGGGTGCAAAAGTAATGGTACAAAATGTTGAGCATCATTGCTACATGTTTCCATGTACCTAAGAGTTAATTACTTTTCCGTTGGAAGGGTCAAAGGATACCGTCGGTTTTCAAAATATGATTTAATCAAAACGATAATTATAGAGTATTAGAAGGCGCATATTTCGATATACTTCTAAAGGCTCACATCTCTATGGTTCATGTGAAAACTACAAAGTTTGATCGATAGGTACCTATGCGATATCTGTGCAATAAAAAATTATTTTTTCAATAACCTTCCACTATTTTGAAAACTGCTTTTCCCCATTAGATGGGCGAGATTATTGTGCATATATACCTGTCAGCGGTACGTTGTGGAATGAAGGAGAGTACAAACAATGGTCGAAAAATTCTTGATTTTTCAAAAACATCATGGTTGGTAAAAATACTATAGCTCCATGAAAAAAGCTCGCCGCAATAGCCCACTTGCAGGAAAACATCCTTAAATTCTGCGGTACAAACCTGACATTTAAAAGAAAAAAATAAATTGTCTTCGGAGAACTACAATTTTTTTAATTTAAAAATTTAGATACACTTTTGACCAGCAATTTTGATACTGCGTGAGTAAAATCGTTCTATGCAAAAAACGATCAAAGACTTACAGTTTAGTTTAGTCTCATTTTGTGTAGAATTCAATTTTCTATCTTATACAATACAAGAAAGTTGAGATGTAGTGCCATCGCGCTTGCTTCTCTTGATTCTTGTTTTCTAATTTTCTCATAACAGCCAGCACAGCGTCGTCGGACATCGCGAGCTTCTCGAATGGCATGCCAAGTAATAAAGATCGGATAAGACTTTCGCGAAACTGTAGAATGGTCACTTTGCTGGTAGCGTAAGTTTCCTTATATATCAAATAACTATTTACTAACGCCACCCCCAAAACCAGTTCAAATGCTACTTTTCGGTACCACTTTATTGACCGCCTGAAGGATGTGTAATATGCCGATAGCTGATCAGATA